TGAACCTGGAGAACCTGGTCGAAGCGGACTGAAGGTAATAACATAGCTCTCTTCATACTGCATAAAAATGAAGGTCATATTTTGGTTGTTTGTTTCAGCCCACGGTGTTGGAAACAAGAAGAATCCAGAGTTCTGTAACAATCACTAACTGTTACTGCTGTGAAACGTCTGCAGGAGAAACAGACAGATTAAAGCATCAATCTGTAATTCAAGATATTACTGTTAAAGGTGTCCCACACTGTAAAAATTTGGATGTTTGAATCGTACAACTGTTTTATCTTAGGCGTAATGCTTTTGRTTAAAGCAGTGATATGAGATATTAACACAACTAAATACCTCACATTAAATCTAGCTCGTTCTTTTCCTGAATAAAGTCTGGATTAGACAAACCTGCTCTAAACGTATGCTCTGCTAATCTCAGTTTCCCAAATTTTGGCATTTTGTTGCTCAACATATATTAGCAGTGTTTGCTCGTATGATCTTCATCCTAAACCAGTTTTATTTTACATTTACAACATAAAAAAAATCATCTGCTGATGAGGAACTATTCAAAGAATCCTGCAGCAGATTTAATCACCCTCYGCTCCAGTCAATTATCTAATTAAACCTTTAAATCATATTTGTTGCACCTAATTAACTTGTCATCACTTTGTGTTTGGACAAACTGTTTCCAGATCGAAAAGGTTTTTTTAGTGAATGTATTTTAGGAGAAGTAGGTTTGGCCTGACTGGTTTACATTGATCCTGTTCATCAAAATGCTTTTCCTCAGTAAAAATCTGCCGTCGGATCTTTACTAATAAGTGTTTTTGAAGTCCYCTTTTCAGGGTGCTGATCACTAATTATTACTTTTTCATTTGCCATAAATACAATGAGCCTAACTGAGCATTAAATTATTCCAAGTCAGACATCTCATGTTGAAAGTCTTGCAGAGGTCACAAAAACAAAACGTTTCTGAGTCACTTAACGCTCCCAAGAATCCTAAAGCCACTGCAGTTTTCTCAAAGTTTAAGGTTTAGAGAAATCAGAAGTTTGCAGAAAAAAATAATAATAGTAATAAAATCCTGCGCTGAGTGTGTTAACAAGCACTAATCAAGCTGTCGAGCCGTGGCTGCATGAGTTGGGATGAAAATGCATGCGCCTCCTCTTCTGCTAACGCTCAGACCCCGGCCAGCTTTTTTAGAAGTACGGCAGCTCGACGGGCAGGGAAAAGCAGAAAAATAACACGTAGAGCTAATAATATAAAACAATAAAATAAAAAAATTAAGACAAAACAAAGGAGCCGACAAACGAGGCCCGACTCAGCTTAGCTTGGCTTGGCTGTAACGTGTCACACTCTTCCTGTGTAGGGAGAACCAGGACTACCAGGGCTGCCTGGACTCCCAGGAATAAAGGTAATTGCTTCGCTGTTTTCATCCCCCCACCCCACCACCCCTCCACCCTGTCATCTCGGTTGTTGTCCCTGTCCAGCCGCTTCAGCCCACAGCAGCTGACCTACTGTCAAACATGACAAGCTTGGCTTCTTTCTTTTTTTTTTCCTGCTTTAAGGGATTAGCAGCTGGGATTGAATGTTTTATCTGCAACAGATGCAGCGACACAATAATGCATTCAGTGCAGGGAAACAGGAGGATTTCAGTGCTTCTGATCTGCAGACGCCACTATTCTGCAGGATAACTGTCCCATTAAGGCTGGAGAACAGCTCCCTCATGCTAAGAGCTTTAGCTCAGTTAAAAGTCAGAACAAAAAGTGACAAAACTGTKTTTTATTATTATTATTTTGTTATGTGGAGTAGTTTTTAACAGTTAGTATCATACCTGCAGCAGATGAGGGGTCTCTGGAGAGTTAAGGAGAAATATTTAGATTACCACAGCTTGAGTCACTTCATTATGTCACATTTAAAGTCTCTTTCAAAAAATAATTTATTCCTACCCTTTTTTGTGTTTTTTAAACTTTTCATAAAAAATCAAAGAGTTAACTGCACAGATCAGAGTTGGAACATTTTTATTCCAACAAACACATCCTATTATCAACAATCAATTGTATAAACACAGTTTTAAAGGGATCCACGATTAGTTGTAATATTAGACTTTATATGATAAACATATACTTTAACTGTAAAATAAAGACTGTAAAAATACTGTAGGATGTTCAGTTTTTATCATTTTTAAACTAAAAGTTTAAAAATATATTACATGGACGGGGCTAATTTAATTTACATGCAAAGCATTCTGGGTAAATGATGACATCAACTAGGTCATTGGTGCRAGGCTGCTAGCGAGCTATATCCACCCTGAAGGTTAATCTTGGACAATATCTGATGATCGACTCTTAAATGAAACCAGAGAGCGTTGACAGAGAGGAGAAGGTAGAAATGACTCAGTCTGTAACTGAAAATATAGATGGAGGACAACAGAGCTGCTTCATGGAAGAAGAACCTCAGCTTAGCCTGTTAGCTTTAGCATTAGCCCTGACGCTATCACCATATATATGTATTAGCTCAGCGCTACACATTCTCCTCTCRTCACTGAGGTCCTCCATCCACATGACAGAGAGGGGAACACAAAAATGACTCAGTCTGCAAATGAGAATATGGATGGAGGACCTCAGTTTAGCTTKTTTGTCGTGCTAGTGCCAAGCTAATACATATAAGGCAATACAGAGTGAGGGCTAGCACGAAGGCTAACAGGCTAAGCTGAGGTTCTTCTTCCATGAAGCAGCTCTGTTGTCCTCCATCTATATTTTCAGTTACAGGCTGAGTCATTTCTACCTTCTCCTCTCTGTCAACGCTCTCTGGTTTCATTTAAAAGAGTCGATCGTCAGATATTGTCCAAGATTAACCTTCAGGGTGGATATAGCTCGCTAGCAGCCTCGCACCAATGACCTAGTTGATGTCATCATTTACCCAGAATGCTTTGCGTGTAAATAAAATGGCTCCGTTCRTGGTAAAATATATTTTAAAACATTTACAAAACTAAACATTCTACAGTATTTTTACAGTCTTTATTTTACAGTTAAAATAAATGTTTATCAAATAAAGTTTAATGTTACAACTAATCATGGATCCCTTTAAACAGCGGTTAGTGTTTGTGAACCGTCATTTTTTCTATCCAAGACAAACACAACCTGAAGCCCCGCCTCCATTGTCCAGTCTGACTCTGTTTGGTTCTGCTCAGGTGTGTGTGTCTCCACACATCAGTGTGTCCCTCACTTTGTGGGCGGATCGTCAGGACGTGGTTTAAGACGTTGCAGTTTTGTCTTTTTTTCTTCTTCTTCTTTAATTTGTGGCTCACATTTTCTTTGCCGTTGGTTTGATTCTCGTGAAGGAGCTGCTCTCGTGATTGACGTCGCTCTCCGACCAATCACGGGGCTGCAGTCTGCTGGCGTCAGAGCTTCAGCTTGACTCGGCTCACTGGGAACCTCAGTCCTAAGAACTGAGCTGAAAACAGTCGGGATCACCCAACTGAAAGACTCTGAAGTCGTGCCGAGTCTGGTCATCTCAGTGAGCCCGCCTCCTCCCAGTAAAGAGTTGGTGCTTGTTTTTTTATGGAGGTAGAAAAGAAAGAGCTGGTGCTAAATGTTTAGAAACATGTGGGGGGGGGTGAACACTGAGACTGCACCTTGTTTAGCAGCTAATGCAAATCCCAAACCTGGAAAAGCTCCCATGAGAATTTCTCCCCGACTCTCTAAATTTAAACACCATCTGCTGCAGGTAAGACGCTGAGTTCTGCAGAAACTGAACCTAGAAACACCCAACTGTTTTCTGTAGAGGCGGGAAATTAGATTTCTGTTTATTCAGAGCCTTTTCAAACTATATTTTTTGTTCTGATTGTTTTCAGTAGAAGAAAGCAGCAGAARCTAAATGCATAAAAAGCTGACTGGAGAACTGTGACCACACTAATGTATTTCAGGACCATTAGCTTGAAAAATCCAGCGTGAATGCAGGGAATGCTCACGCAGGCATGATGCTGATGCTTGTTAGTTGTTTTTCTCTTCGTTTTGCCTCTAATGTGCTGGCCTTGTAAAAAGCACCTTTCATTTTTTCCACTCTTTATGTACTCCTGTTTTTACTTAAGAGGCTGTTTGCTTGATGGATTCGCACCAAAAAAAACGTATTTATTTATTTATTTTTTTTGCCAATGTAGCTCTCAAGGCTTGCACTTTTCTCCTCCGCCACATTCTTCGCTGTTTATCCAATCAAGGTTTGAAACCTTCGAGAGCCAAACATTCTTGTAGCGAGGACTCTRGTTTCAGATGGTCTAATAATTCATTCCAGTTTAAAAACCAAATATAATGCAAATGGAGTCCAGCAGCACACATCATACTGGGAGCTCAGTCCTCCTGAGTGGAAGTGGGAGTTTAAAAATAGCTAAATTTATTCAGAAAAAAGGCACAAAGTGTTTGGAGGTCGTTTTTTTTTTTCTTCTTCTTTTACTTCTGTGAATCCCGATGAGTTTCTAATAGGGTCAGCCGTATCGTATGTTCGCGAGGAAAAATGTTAATAAAAGTGAAACGAGGGGATGAATTAACAAACCGCTGATCGCCTGTCTGTGTGGAGGTCGTGCATGCGTTCCTCGGTCTGTCTGTGTGCACGCTCACGTGCACGAGCCGTAAGTGCATGCCTGTTGTTATGAATATATTTGGCCGTTCGTCTACATTTTCAGCAGCAGCACTCATTTAAAAATAAAAAAAATCAGCCAGCAGGAAGGTGAGTGACAGCCGCTCATGTTTTTRTGTTTTTTCAGGGCGAGCCTGGATTTTTGGGCCCCCAGGGAGAACCGGGGCTTCCAGGACTGCCAGGCACCAAGGTGGGTGGCTTTTATTAATTAAATAGTYGTTTAATCACATTTTCTTAAAGGACCTGTGACGTAAAATTTATTCTTTTGGAATTGATATGAATGCATTTTTGGAAAGAGAACACTGATAGCATGTTGCAAAAAAAATTCATGCCRCTGAGATGAACGGTTGTTGAGATATTTGCATGTGAAGAAACAGGAAGTGATGTCAAAGGGGAATGTCAGCGTGTGAACAGAGAGTTGCTACAACAGCCAACAACACAGACTGTAGAGACGAATCTGATATTTCTTTAGATTATTTTGAGTCACTAACAGAGAGATGAAGAAGAGTCAGAGTTGTAATTATATTGTTTCAATGAACAAAGACCAGGGGGTTTAATTTTCCCTCTTTGATGTCACTTCCTGTTTCACTTTGAGCCAAGTTCAAAAGAAACTATGCCAGTTATGCAACAAAATGGGTAAAAATCRTGTATTATGTCGTTTCTTAAATATAAAGATGTTTTCTTTRACTTGTTGTATTTGAAGTAGACCCACATCACAGGCACTTTAATATTWTCATTGTTAGAACAACAAACTTATTTTCTTATTTCTTAATGTTATCATCTAAGATTCTTGTTCATTTTGAACTTTAGAATCAGACTCGTTGAGTTTTTTTAAATCATCAAGATGTTTTCGATTTGCATCATTCAWTGTCTTTTAAAATTTCCTTATGAAGTAGTCGGGTGCTAAAAAGTGCCTATTAAGCAGATTTGAGTAGGTATTGATGGTTTCCACCCTCCATCATAGCTCAAGTTTCTCATTTGGCCCCAGAAAAGAACAAATGCCCACTCCGGTATTAGAAATATTAATCCCTGTTCCGTGGGAGTTCCGCAGGGTAGCATACTGGGCCCATGGCTTTTCCTATTATCCATAAAAGACCTTCCAAAAATATTGAAG